TATCTTACCAGCCAGTTGTGATCGTCTTTAGCAAGTCTACGAATTCCATACTTTGAGTTAGAGTTTTTATTTTGAATAACCGGTGAACACTCAACCTGAAGAAAACATCACATTCATGGTCTTTTATCTTTTGAATCTTTGAAATGGAGTAATATTCAAAACTGATATGATATTGAGTCTCTCAGAGMACATCACTAGTGAAGTGCAATAGTGAAGTGTACTACAGCCACATGCCTATTACTGTTTTCATTAGAATAACTCATAAAATGCAAGTTTTGAAAACATTTAGTTTACCAATAGGGCTTTGTACTCACCTTTCTTTCACAGGCGAGTTTAGTGTGCCACGAGAAGTAGTAGGTACAGTCGTCTGACTCATCAACAAAAACAGGTTTACCAAAGTTGTTACTAGATGRCCAACTACACACAAATGAGATCACTGTGGTCCGTGAAGTCTTAGAATGATGACAGACTTMACCTATCATAATAACAACCAACAGAAAAAGACAGTCGTTGAGGCAGTCCGTCAATCAATTTTTCAATCAATCAACTAAGTGCCAGCTAGTCTATCAATCAAATCGGAGTTCAATCAATCAATGAAATAAGTCAATCAATCAAAAAGTTATTCGGAAAATCATAAATCAAAGTATCAATCAGTCACTTTAGATGATGTAAAATGCGAAAAGCTTACACACTTATTAGGCCTTCTCAGAGTAAGGAGGACTTCAAAACCGAAAATGGAACTTCTCGGAAAAAAAGAAAATTACGTATAATGAACGATAGATGACAAATGCACGGATCACGACGCGGACACCACACGGCACCGTGCCGCACGATCACGGAACCTTGCCTGATAGTGACGCAAAATAAAAATAATGAATCAAGGACACATCACCGTCACAACACGGTACGGTCACAACACGAAAGTGCACTTTTGCATAGTCATAGTTTTTACGAAATCCGCTGCAACAAGGGAGTAAGTTGTTTCCTAAATGGTGTTTATTTGTAGCCATGTTATTGGCGTCAGTACAATCATATGCACTGCAATAATTCATTGGAACAAAAAGGATCTTTTTTCTTAAAAGACGAGTAGTATTCTCGTAAGGTAAGATACCATTCATTTTGAAGAAGAACAACAATTAATATGTCAAAAAACAATTTTCATACAAAATGCCGCTTTACCTCCTGAATATGTGAGTTTAAGCACGCCGTCCTGGTAAGTTAACTGCTTACTGGCTTTACCAGCATTGTATGTYGTACTGCCATCAAGTTTGTACTGACACGAGCCTGAATCCTTTCCACACGTCGTGTCTAGATAAAATAACATATTGAATTCTTTTGCAAAATTAACTTATCAACTTACTTATTACCCTGGTTCCAGAGGCTGGATATACCTATAGTTTAAGAACAAATCAAGCCTCTTGAACCCAGGTTACCAACTTATAGCTACTATAATAAACTTTCGAAACTTTTCATGAATATTRCGCAGAATCAATTTCCGTCAATCAGTCAATCACATGATCAGATTACATGAAAGCCTTGAAGTCTACCACATTTATTAACTAAATGTATTTACCAATGGCAATAAACCAATTAATTGATTTGATTCGGTGATATTTAATCAATCTCTAATAATTATTTTCTCGRTCWAGTCCTTACCTTTRTTCAACCCTTGGCACACGTTTAACAAGAAGTAATGTCCTTTGTTATCYTCGACCCTGTAGTCGGTATCGTTTGCTAGTGGATTTAAATCAAACTTATAGTTGGTGATGGGGTTGACAGCTGTACAGTCATTGGTGATAGTTTGGTTCACAGTGTTTATCGGACATGCGTACTTGGTAATCCACACAAACTCATAGGTACACGTATCTTGATACATATTGATCTCCATGGGAGCAGCCTGAATCAGAGATATGGTAGACTGTTAAATTCTATTAAAATGAAACGTGGATTTCCGATCTAAGAAGGTTGCAACACAAGACAGGGTTGAGATAAATGTGAGGATCGTTAGTGTTATCTTAGGTAAGAATGGATACGACAGATTTTTACGGAAAGATGGACATAATACTGAATTTTGGAAAGAAAACAATAGAGAGAAGAACAGATGYAAGAGGAGACGACAAGSGTCTTGGACAAGGAATGAACAAGAAACTAAATGAACATTCAATTAATATGAGACACAAATACCTCAGCACTTGGCCCACACTCCATGCGTATAGTAGCTGACGCTGACTTGCCGTTGGAGCATTGATCTCCCKTCGAGTAATTTAGATAAATACTGGTCCCCTTCACCACAGGAATACTGGTCAACTGACCAAGACTTGTAGCACTAAAACACAACGTATGCAGGTTATAAATCTACCTCGCTATCAAATATGCTATATGCTATGCTATAGTGTATTAGTTGATTGGATTTTTTTACCTTTTTTTCCCTGTCTGTGTTGTCTCTACTTTACATACACCAGCAGTTCGTGAGCAAATAGATGCTTCACCGGATCTGATGACTGGACGACAGACGTTTATAAAGTAAGATACACTAGCTGTTGATGTTGTTGCCTGAAATCASAGAGAATTGACGTAAAACTTACATAATGGTTTGTCGGTGTTTTAAGTATCGCGCCGCAATGATCACTACCGTTCCTGGATTCCAGATTCCAAGTTCCTGGATTCTAGATTTCATGAAAGATTTCGCATGGATTCTGGATTCCACCATATTCGATTCAGATTGCAAAGCATCCTAGTGTTTTTGTCGTCAAAGWACGAGGATTCCAGATCCCAGCTGTCCGAATTTCGGATTCCGCAGGCAAAGTTTTGTAGGATTCAAGGTTCGGGATTCCTCGTAATGGGGCGACGAGTAAATCAATGATGACAGCGCATGCGTGTTTTACCTTCCAATTGTCGTTATGTTTTGTTAYTCTGGTGAAGTCATACTGCAGATCAGTCTTCTTGTCGCTGCTTTCTSTCCTGATACTGCACTGGACATGCGTATTTGGTCGACAAGCCAYGTCTGTAGCCCAACGAGCATAATATTCACACTTCTTGTCATCAACCCTTTCCAACTTGGGTCCATTCCCCTCATTATGTGCATTTTGGTCACAATCAAACCGCACAAGAAGGGAGCACTTTGAGTTACTGTATCGGAGGAAGATTTCTTGCCCAAAGAATGTAAGTTGTTTGGAGACATCGCCCAGCTTTACTATGTCTGTTTAGAGATAAAAACAAATCATGTCAAAATACCTTGCTGAGTGCTAAGCCCCTCTAAGTGTTGGCCATCACGGTGTTGACATCATGGACCTGCTTGTCGGCACTGGACTCAGCCAGCCGTGCAGCATTGAACAGCACATATTGACCGTATATGGTGAGCAGGCAGATTGGTAATGTTATCACCTAGTATTACCTTGTTTATTTCCTTCTTTAATTAAACAAGCCGCGGTGTTTTCGTCTTTACATGGTGCTGCCTTGGCACAGACACCAAGGTAAACAGTTCCATCCGGGACTTTAAACGCGAATGAACCCACCAGTGATGACAAACTGTACTTGTAGTCATACTGTCTGTCTGTCACTTGACAATTATCGCCTGCTTCTCTTGTGAGTGCACACGCACTGGGTGTTTGCCAATTAAACACATATTCACATTCTGAGGTTTCCGTTTCAAAAATAGGAGGACCCTGCATGAAGAAATAAACACTTTTTTTAAGAATGATAGTCCTTAATACTCCAGTTTCGAATTCATAGCGAAAAACTGCTGCTGTATTTGACAACAGATGCCCCTGCGCAAAGACTAATTAAAAAAGAGAGCACGAGAAAATGTCGATATTACAATAGCCTTGAGAATTTGCATTTTGTCCGAGTTCAAACTAACCCTTATTCCCATAAGACCTAAGGTATGATCCTTCTGGGAATACAGGGTTTGCCTCAACTCGGGGAAAATATAAATTTTAAAACGCTATTMTACTAGCAACATTTTCTCGTGCCTTCTGTTGTGTTTGGTAAGGTCTTTGCGTAAGAGAATCTGCTGTCAAATAAAACAGCGGTTATTCGCTTTGAATCAGGAAATGGATGACCGAACACAACACAGTGGGCCAGTTACTTTTACTTACAGTGAAGTTAGCGCATTGGAGGTTGACCCTTGTGCTTCTAGCGTATTTATTGTGGCATTTGGTGCCTCCATAATAGTGRAATGTAATTAGGCCTTCTGAAACTACCTCTGGGTTGCTTTGAATATAACCAAGATTATAACACTTTGATGTGCTGTGATCTATTTGAATAGCGCCGACCGATGTAAATGGGCACTGAATAGATGAGGTTACAGGGTTGATTGCTCGACATACGTTGATGTAGTAGTGGAGATGCTTGTGTGCAGAACGGGTGTCAACAGCCTCCCAGTTACCTGAAGCAGGTTCAATATGCCTTATTAACATGACAAAATACAGCACTGTCCTTGTCAGCAAAAAATGACGAAATAAATTACAAAGACGTTTTTTAAAAGAACAAAACAAAAGCAAACTTTGCAATTCAAGCTGGACAAAAGAATTGAGGAAGGGAGAGGAGGGAGCGACGAGAATTAAGCAAATCAAGAAAATAAGAAGAGGAACTGAAAAATGAAAAAAATACATGCAGTGAAAACAATGGAAAAAAAAGATGGGAAATGAACAAAAAGTGTCTGTAATCTTACCAGTAATTAATCCCATAGGAGTCAAGTCGTATGATCGCCCATTTGATGAATTAAACTGACACTGTATTTGATTCATTGAACATGCAAGAGACGTTTTGAAGTCAAAATAAAACACCTCTCCATCTTTTTCACTTGCTTGTTCAATGTACTTTGGCGAACCTAGAGTGGTGTTAGGGTCACAATAGAACCTGATCTTTGAAATTCTAGGATATCCATTGTTTATATCACGGTCACCATCCCTGAAAGATAAACATGAATCGTCTTGACAATTCAGGTAATAGTCAACTAGGATGGCTTAGCTTCGTCGCCATTCATTAGCAATGGTTTCTTTTGATCACTTGAACAATGATTACGGCAATGATTATTTGTTTCTAATAGCTGAACTCCATGATTAACAATATCATCTAACAACAATCTATCACTATCTGCTTTTTGTCACACGTGGACACTTACATCTAATATTTGTCACTGGCAACACTGCTAGTACACAGTGTGAAATTCAATAAAAAGACTAACGAGAAATTAATATCTATGATCATGAGGTGGAATTACCTGTAAGTCAGTACAAGTGTCTCTCCTTCAAACTCCAACTTCTGACTGACAACACCCAAATTAAGAAGTTTCTTGTCAGTCTCCTTCATGCAGACACCGATATCAACACCGCTGTCCTTATTACACAGTGTCTTGTCAATTTTGTCACAAATATTCAGTGTAAATGTTCTACCACTAGGTGTAGAGATAGTGTACGGCTTGCTTGGTTGTCGGCTTAGTGCAAACATATTGAAGACAGTAGCTGATTTAGGATCCTGGACGGAGCAATTTGCACCTATGGTGTTAGTAATGGCACATGCCGCGGCAGACTCCCAACTAAACTTGTACAGGCATCCACTATTACCAGTAGACTCTA